GAGGATTTGGGCATTTGGATTCAGGATCGGCGTAGATAGATCGACAGGAGTATCGAACGATCGATAACTGATCCTCTCGGACAGGTGAGCGTCACTAGAGAGTCGGCGGAGCAGAGCGTCGTAGAGGGCAGGTGAAAGGGGTGTGGATTGGGAGAGATCGGGAACGACCGCCTCGTCGGCTGGAAGTCCGAGATCTGCAAGTGTGGGGGCGGGGTTCCTCGAATCGCCGTTGAAGGTTTGCTCGAGACAGGGCGCGAGCTCCTGGAGTATCTCCGTAAGAAGATGTGTGTCGGCCAGGTTTCTCAGATTATTCGCCATGCAGAACGATCGGAACATGGTGTGCTCCATCTCGCCTGTTCGATGTGTGAGTTTCGAATGCATATGAAAGAGCTCATGTCACACACTTGGCCGAAAGTTTTTGCTCGCACGTCGGAGCAGCCCTATAAACCGTTCGAACGGGAAGGACCAATACGCATGTGTGGGGCCAAAGGTTCGCCACTGATCAGCACTGAGGGAGCAGGCGCGCTTCTTAGGCGGTCGGGGACCCGGAGAGTTGTCTTGGGAAGTGGCAGCGAGTGCTACCGTGCCCTCAGACTTCTGACGTGTTTGTAAGAAGTGATTCATCGATAGGGAAAACTCTTACTCACTTTCAGAATCGCCTCCGCGAGCTGCTGCTTTGTGAGGGTTCCGGGGGATCCCAATCCTTCGGCATCGTAAACCGCTCGCAAAAGCCGAAGGTTCAGTTTCCTCTTCAACGCGGCCGGCGTAGCGCTGGTAGCAACCTTGTTCCACGCGAAGGAAAGCTCTTCTACGGTGACTGAATCAGGTTCAATGTCGGCGCTGGGCTCATCTTCTGAGGTGGTAGTGACGCCCATTCCCATATATCGACGGTTAGCGTTCACCCCAGGTGCAGGGGGACTACTCGGTGCCGGAAGCATCCCGAACGGGTATATGTTGTCGCGGTTGTGACGGATGGGGGAAGGGAGGTTCCAGTGAACCATAAGAACGGCTCCCGCTGGGACATAAGTGACTCCTCCATGTCTGGGCCTCCAAGGGCTGCACCTGTTGATCTGAGACGCATCGAGGTAGCTCTCGATCCCGGGTTGCAAGAGAAGATCCCCAATCCAAGAGACAAGTCTGCGATGAGGGTACGCACGGATGGGACAGTGATCTAGGTATTCGACCGGGGAGCGCCCAGTGTGTCGATTGCGGAGTCGCACGAGACGAGGGAGTTCGTCAGTCTCGAAGCTGTGATGGGCATATCCACGACCGCGAGGGAGGTGTAGTGTGTTGAGGGGATTTTCCAGATCAAGGTGGCAGTGTCTCCGGGCCGTCGCGAGGTCGGCGGGCGACCGAGCCAAGATTATTTCCACGTGCAGAGCATGCAATTTGTGTCCACTTTGGCCGCTGAGAAGCCTGACGATGATCCTGAGAGTACATAGAGCGATATCGCACCCAGGGAATGATGAACGGTGCATAATGTTCAGCACTACAGCGAGAAACACTGCGAAGCCGACAACTGGGAGATTCTGGACAGCGGGTTCGCGAAAGTGATCTGGAGGATAAAGAAGTGGATCAGACGGTGAAGCGTGGCCAGTTTCAGGACTTACTTACTGGTGTCATAAGCAACGGGCAGAGTACTTGATGGTTGTCCAGGGGCTGAACGCGTAAGGAGATATTGTTGTCTCGACCACCCCTCCATCCTAAGTTCGAGGCTAAGGAGTTAGAGAGAGATAGCAGATGTTGGCTTCAATGACAGCGGTGGGCAGATGGCTAAATTTTGACTGAGTAAAGCAGAGAGAAGTCGGCGATGCTGAGTTGTGCTGTCTTTTATGGCGGCTTGGGACATATGAATAACGCGACGCACATGACATTTCATGAGCGGCGGTGTGGGACAATAAGCTCGATCGGTTGATCAATCGGACAGTTCACCACGGAGCCGAAAATTCTCCGCGTTATCGAACGCTTCACCGTAGGTCTTGGTCCGACTCAGAGTAGTCGACTTCCAGCGCGGCGAACGTGAGACGATCATTCCTGCGCTCGCGAACCCGCGAAGTTGCCCGCGACGACATACACAATCACGGCCGCCGGGGGTTGGTGATGCATGCCGGCAAGGGGTTTCCATCAGATAGTAGACAGATGAAGGTTGAGTGGGTCGTCGACGAATTCTTGGAGAGCGGCTGAGCAAGGACGAGCAACGCGGCGAGGACAGTACTCAGTACTCAGTACTCAGTGGTGACTTCAACGCGAAGAAAGCGTGAGCGGTTCCGGGGTCGCGACACACAAGTGGACTCCGAACACTCCCGTGTGGCGTTTAAGTTTAAGTCCCCGAGCGATGAAGACATGAGTATAGGGACTTGTCACTATCTATCATAACAGTGATGCTTCTAAGTAGTGCGACGGTACGTGGTGTTCCATCCCAGACCAGCTGCCGAGAAATTCGACTTCTTCCGTTCGGCGTCCTCCGATTCCGGCAGTTTTGCTCCCTCGACGCTTACCTTCCCTTGAATAACCAGAACCGCACGACGTGGGTTGGTGCTTGTCCCCCGTTGGTACAGGCTAGTAGCGCATACACGCGTTAGTGTGGTATCGCTCGAACTTTGAGAACGAACGTAATCACTGCGCTGGGCGCGCGCCCAGCATCACTGGAAAACGTTTTTCGATGATTCACCAGGGCCGTCCTCGTTATCTTCCGCCCTTTCGAAGTACGTGCACCTGGCCTGGAGAGAATATAAGGATACGGCTAGTACTTGCGGTTCGCGTTGGTCACCGACTGCGACACCTTCAAGATAGTGATTAAATCACAGCCGCAGCGGCGCGAGGCCCCCACAGGACTTTGCGGGCACTTTGCAAGGACGCAGAGACTAAACTTACCCGTGCGCGAGCGAAGAAGAAGTGCCATCCTTTTCTCTGCCTGCAATCCTAGAACTGCTTGCCCTTGTTGGCGGACTCTTTCGCCATGCTGCTAAGGACCCTCCCCGGCCGCGGCCGCACCGAGCTCGCGCCTCAAGTACTTACGCCTCTAGATCCACACGACGCAGCCCCTACACTTCGGCCTTGCCCCGAGTGTGTGAGAAGGGCTCCCTCACTGCGACTAGCTTTTCGAATTCGATCTTCGTCCGCATGAACATCTCCTTGTAGCGTTCAATACTTTCCACGAGAACCTCGTTCTTCGACTTGACACCCCAGCATATATCCACCATCCGCATCTCAGATTAACAAGACAAGTTATCAAAATGACGCATGACATCCAGGGTGGATACCGACGTACCTCGCGCCTGAGCTCTGCCTCGCGCTGACTATGGTCGAAGTCAATACTAGCACCCTATACCGGGTCTTGATGGGACAAGATACTTGATTGCGCCTTGCATTCGTCCCGTCATATACCCGCCGTCGATAATAATTTGTATGTGGTGAGTGAGCGTGGCGTCCGTTCCTAATATGGTGTGCGACTGACCAATGCCATTCCCGTCCATGAGGATGGCCAGACATGCTTCTGTCAGAAGGGCCGGTTTGGACGTTTGGCCTTCGTCAAGCCTACCTTCGATCGGAACGAAGGCATTACCGTCTTGGATGTTTGGAACCCCCTTGTCCGCCCATTCGTTGTGCGGGAAGTGAAAGGATGTGTACCGGTGGCGAAGAACTCTTCGCCGTATTGCTTTTCTATCGTTGTGAACCAATCTGTGGCGCGTGATATGCTCGTAAAGCCCTTTTCATCCCCAGCGAAATTCCCTACATGCGCGTCAGGATGAGTTGGGGGGTATCTGCCCTGTCTCGGCGCATTAAAGCATCCGTTCTGCAAGCTTAGTGAAGATAGTGAGAGCGTGCAAGTCAATTATACGAACGGACAACGACTCCTACCCACCAGCAAATAAACGCCATGCGGGGTGGGCGGTTGGATTTCCTGTCGAGTTCATAGACGTCGGTTTCAGTGCGCGGATAAGATAGCCCACTTACGTCGAGCACCCGTTTGGGCAAAATCTTCAACTAACGCAAATCTACCTCCTACAAACTGCGGTCACTGGAGCGATTTCCTATCCCAACGGTGCTACTTACCACTTATTGGTATCTTCGACCATGCTCGAGCCATGGCGTGCTCGAGGGGCGCATCATGCAAGGCCATCGCGTTCATGATATCGTATAGAAACCCTCTCCTCTACGCAAAGATGGTCTCCTCACCACGAATAGATGTACCAGAACGGCTCAGGTCTGAAGTTCCCAAGTTGGTTGTACCGAGTGACGACGAGCGCAAGGGTAGGGGATTGACAAGGACCTGAATTGAAGTCTTGAACATTGGAAGCGGAATATCATAGGTTGGAGTGAAGCCTATACATACCATGCAATATCAGCTGTCGTTTTGAAGCCTCGTGACAGTTCTCCAGGTTGAGCTAATTCTGATACACATTTGCAGGGGCGCGACGCGAGGAGCCGCAATGCTGAATGTCAAGAGCGAATACTTGGCGCCGACATCGTTACACATGATAATGATTGGGATGTTGACGCAAGAGTGCACGTTCTGAGGGCGGGCATTTTATAGCTGCGGTCTGGTGGACGGCTTTTGACAGATGACCGCGCTGGCATCGCCACTACCATCCGGGATCACGAGCGCAGCGATAAGGAGGATAAAGAAACGCAGGCCTGCGAAGGCCGAGTCGGGTTACGCCTGACTC